TGTGTGTGTGTGTGTGTGTGTGTGTGTGTGTGTGTGTGTGTGTGTGTGTGTGTGTGTGTGTGTGTGTTAACTTTGCAGTGATTTTGGATATTACCGGAAGGAGAACAGCTCGGTGTGTGAGGAGCAGCCGGATCTGAAGGGCAAAGTGTTGGAGTTCTGTCTGAACGGCAAAGAGGAAAAACTGATAACTAGTGGGTAAGAAAGGCTCTGGAATTAAATGCAAAGAATTTTATTACTGAAAAACACAGATACACTGTATGTGTCATGGGCCACATTATATATATATACATTTGTGTGGGGAAAAAAATAAGGAAATGTGTTAAGTTCTTTTTTTCATGATGAACTGTCACATAGCTTTAAAAAGCATAGATAAATGTTGATATTAAAGACATTTAGATTAGAATTATTAACTTTATGCTTCTTCCTGCTCCATTTTGAACTAAACATTTAGTTTTTTTATATATATAGACTCTTTTATTTGGCTGATATGGCTACTAATAAAATTTGCAGTCATGCCTGTGCAGATTTAACATGTTACTAAGGTGAGTGAAGATGCAGCAGCAGCTCCTGCAACCAGCTCACTGTAGTAGTTCTTTTTAAGTGAAAATGCTCTGTATATGTTTTTGTTAAGTTATGCAGTTATTATATTCAGTATATTTTTTATAATTAAATTAAAAATACATATTGGCCCAAAAAATAAAAAAAAAACTGTTGTGTATCAGCCGTTCCTGATTTTCAAAAGTCCGCTATCATTGATTATTATTATAAACGTTTGTTTTGCCTTCTTTGCTCCTACMATGTTTCAAATAAAATGAAACTAAACAGAGTAAAAGTAACAGGTTTGAGTTCTGTGTCAAAAGTAGATATGATGTTTGTAGAATGAGGAAGTAATTCTCATGCAGTTACAGGAAACCGGTCAGGGTGATGGTGAGTTGTTGTAAAAGGGAAATAAAACCAAACTGAAGTTTTTGTCCAGTTTTGTTCCAATAATATAAAAGAAATGCCTTCTAACCGAGTTTCTGTGTGGAAAATTGGGAACCCTGTTGCATTGATTGAAGGAGCAAAAAACAAGTTTAATTGATGCAGATTAACATGCAGTTTCTCAGAGCCAGTAGGTCATTATTTAATGTCTTAATGCATTTTTTTAAATTGAAAGCAACTTGGTCAAAGTAAAACATCTTCATCCACATAATCTGTGCTCTCGATTCGCAGATACAGAAAAATCCCTGGAGATAAATGTGAGGGAGGAGAGGTGCCTGTTCGTAAAGAGATCGACCTGAGAGAGAGGTGTGTCAGTGACCAGGTGACCCCAGAGCTTCAGGTTAGCATCTCTGCAAAAATCAAAATGTTCGTTTCGTCTGTGATCAGTTTTACATTCTTCCTCCTGATTTGTCCTGCTCTCTACAGGTGGGCAGTCACTCATCCAGGTCTGTAGCCATCGTCGTAGCAGTTGTCCTTGTCATGCTGCTGAGCGTTACAGCAGGAGTGGTTTTTGTCAAGAAATACGTCTGTGGTGGCAGGTTAGTGTGCTCCTGTAGTTTAATCCAGATAATGATTAAAACCACAAGAAGGTACAACCCTGATAAGTACCTCATCTTGTCTGTTTTCTTGTGTTTCGCTATGAATGATGGAGTTCTGATTGTGTGCTGCAGGTTTTTGGTCCACAGGTACTCTGTGCTGCAGCAGCATGTGGAGGCCAACGCCACAGACGACATGGATGAACCGCTGGAGACGGAACACACGCAGAATGGCAAAATAGTGTTTCATGATGACTCTGATGAGGTACACAGGATAACACGCACAAACACACACAAAAGGTTTCACAAGTTACTAAAGGTTACCTTGTTTTAGTTGTTCTTTTTATTGCAATGAAGAATAATTAGGATTGATTAAAGGGAGAAGGGCTTCACAATATAGTACAAAAATTGTCATTGCRAAACCAGTATTTCAAAAGAGTGCAGTAAATGGCAAAAACACAAACTTCATGTTWATCAGACGTCCTAAAAATCTTTCAGTTGATTTTAATGGTTGATCATTTAAATCCTTTAATGGAGACCCTCTTCAATGCTTAATAGTTTTAATAAACTGTTGTATTTTCATAAAAAATCTGTAAAATAAATCTGCTTTTTGAGTTTGTCACATCAAAGACTTATTAATAAGACTTATCTTTTGAGATTCTAAAATTCTGTTTTAAAATCATTACTCTTTGCTTTTAGACACATTAGCTAATGAGTGACAGACCTTACACCAGCTAAACAAAAATTATATCAAAGATAGTAACTTATTTTATGTTAAACTAGTTTTTTAATCCTTTTTCATTCCTTTCAGAAAAAACTGTTTATTCAATTCACGGTATTTCATTCATAAAAACAAAACAATCTAAATACATTAAATAAAAATAAAAAGTAAATCATGCTGCAAACCAATTGTTTAATCAGCCTTTTATCTAAAAAGATAACATGTTTTCATGGAAATGCCAGATTTTTTTTATTATTTTCACTGACTTTGTGGTTAAAGCTCAGTTTGACCTTTTACAACAGAAAAGCTTTTTCTCTTCTTGTTCTCACTATAGTTTGTTCAGAGCTGCAAAACCTACCTCAGGATTGAAAAACAGATAATGAAGCTCGTTAATGTGTTTTTATATAAGGACTTCCTAAAAACTACTTTGTTACCTTTAGAAAAGAAAGAGCTCTAATGTTGACATTTATCAGTATTTTAGCACAATGGGACGAAGGAAATAACGTTTTGTTTCTACACTCGTCAGTAAAGTTTAAACCCTGAACTATTTTTTTAGTTTGTGAATAATTAGAGCCACAGATTTTAGGCCCCTGATTATTCTGAGTCAGGATCACTCTAAAACAYAACAGCAGCTATGCTTTTATTCTGAAAGTTCTCTGACGCTTTCATGGTTGCAGCACTAATATGTGAACTAACACATATTGCCTAATGACTCAACCGTTGCCGTGGTTCTTGCTGCTTCTGGAACCTTCTGCAAGAAAACATTTTGTCAAAATAACACAAAGTAGCAGACTGACTGATCCCAGTTACTGTAGCGGGTGTTTTGTTTTGTTGTGTCAGGTTCTGGTTCAGGCTGGGGACAGAATCGGGTTGAATTATGAGTGAACAGTAACATGAAACAGACTTCAGCTCACCCAGATTCAGTCTGAAAGCACTGAAGCCTGACACCAACTAGACCACAGCAACCTGGGAAAACTGACACAAAGCAAAGGGTTTTTTCACAAGAAGAAGAGTATTTTCAGGTTTAGAAGGTGCAGAAGGAGGTCAGTTTATTTACAGGGTTAGGTGTGTACACTGCTCCTCTGTTGGTTGTGGCTTCAGCAGCGTGCTCTCTTCTGTCTGTCTGAACAGGAAATGCTCGAGTAGCAGGCAACACCTGTTACACAACTGAGCAACAGGTTTCCCGCCCGCCTRGTGGAAGGTCGCTGTTCCTGTCACTCTTCTCTCCGGTCACTTCCTCCTTTTTAACGCTCGAGCAGAAAACCGCCGCTCCGAGAGCAGACTCCACCCGCCGCTCTGCTGGGATCTGTGAAGTTTAACGAATGTACGGACGCCTCCTGAGACTCACCGCCGCAGCTCGGGAGAATCACGAAGGAAGGCCTGTTCTCCTTTTAGTTGGTTGAGTTTTAATCGTTTTTATTGGATGAAATAAGGAAGTGACGCAGCCCAGCGGCTGACAGAACTAGAGTAACAGGTTTTGAAAGAAAACTAGTTGTACAAATCCTCCTTCTCCTTTTCTTTCACTTCCATCATCTGAGAAATCACCTGGAAGTCCTGCTCTCTTTTGTTGAAGATCTGTTCTTATTGTAATGCACTTGTATATATTAATTTTTCTTTTAAAGTTTTTAATTTTAGTCTGGTGAGCATTGAAAATTCTCTCTGGGTAATAACTAGTGATGGGCAGTTTGAAGCTAA